CAATATGCTGACTCTCTGTAAACCGCTTAGAGAGGCCTGAAAGGCCTATGAAGCGGTATATAAGTCTACTGCTATTGCTATTGCTATTGTCCCGCACATGCGCAGAATAACCCTTGTTACTCAGTCACCTTCCTCATCCTTGGTTTCTGCTGAATGTCCTAAGAGTTCAGTCACTGTCTTTCTCCTGCAGGGCACATGCAGCCTTATACAAAGGTCTTCTACCTTTACATCTCCAGCCCTGACAGAGGTAGCTTGAAACCCTTCTGATCACTTGTAGCATAGATCCACAGATTTTCTGGGGTACAGTCCATCTTAAGAAGAGAAGCTAAGCTGGAAGGGACCTTGGAGGTTTTCTAGTCTCCAACCCCCTGCTCAAGCAGGAGAACCTATACTATTTCAACTTACATCTATACCACCTTCTACAAGTCCATCCTCCCCAAATTAAACTTGTAATGTTTTCCCTTTCTTGACCTCTTCTCTGGAACGGAAGGAAGGAGAAAATGTTTTGAGCCAGGTCCCAAAGCCCATGGTGCAGTCATTGCAGCAAAATTTGTCCCCACCAAGTTGTTCTGTAAGTGTCCTTGACATGTAGCCAAGAGACCAGGCCTGGGTGGCAGCAGGATGAAGCTGTTCGTCCATTGTTTTTGAAGAGGACCTTGGCATCTAATGGGTTTTGGGCTGTTCATGGTGTATCCGCAAGTGGCTGGTAAGGTCTCTACGCACACGGAATGTTCTGCCACAGGTTGGGGGCAGCAGGATCAGAAACCTCAACATCCAGTCAGTGGTTCTTCCTCTGAGATGGAGCCATTCCTCGGAAGCACCAGGAGGCTTCCTCCCTCCCTTGCCTGCTCCGTTCTGCAGCTTGGAAAACATTTGAAGGACCAAAGGGAGCTAAAGCAGAGGGGAAGGGAAAGAATCCATTTCCTGTCTGATTTGGCTGCTGGCTTCCATTTATTCTTGGCCTGCCTGAAGAGGGCAGTTGGGCTGGGTGACTGTCACAGGATTTGGCAGCCTCTGCCAGGACTCCCATGATGCCTCTGCAGGCCCCGGGGGGGGGGGTGGAAGGAGGAAATCAGGCTTTGCTTGCTGGTTAAAAGGACCCTGTTTTGCTGCCATCCCAACTTCAAAGCTCCTTTTATAACTTGCTTCATTCTGAGTGCTATGGAAAAACTGGTTGTGTCTCTTGTTGGTCTGATTTCTTGAAAGCAGGCAGGCAGAGACAGTAGTTGGGATCCAGCCCATCCTGCTCTCATATTTCCACCTCTGAGATGGGCAGATGTGAAAGAACCACTGTGGCATCACCTGAGTGAAGTGAAAAAAGCATTCAGCTTATGTTGTGCTTCAAGGCACTAGAGCAGGGGTGGATTTCAGCTCTCAGAATTCCTGAGCCAGCCTGGTTGTAGAGGGGCCCTGGTTGCCCACCCCTGCACCAGAGGATGCATTCGGCCTTGCAAGAAATGCCTAATATTTGGTCCCTTTTGTGACACAACAGCAAATACTGTACTCTACCAAAAAAGTCACCTTTGCTGAATGCCTGATTTGACACTGCTTTGCAAGTATGTTCCAGAGGGTCCCTGGGGGCCCTCCAAGGCTGCCCAGCCAACCCACCTGTAAGCATGTTAGCATTCAGAATTCAGCTGATATGTATTCCATGGCCAGGAGGTAAAACATTAACTTTAGATCTTAAGTACCTGTAAAACACTGCACTCAACTCCAACCTACTTTCAGCCATGGAGACTCCTGGGTGACTTTGAGTCACTCACCCTTTCTCACCCCAGCCTACCTCACAGTTCATGCATTTGGGAACCAAATGAAAGACAATCAGCCTCTAAACTGCAGGGATTGGACTAGTAAGGAGCAGATTATGTTTTAATTTTTAATTAATTAATAGCCAAGACAAGCCAGCTATCCAGGTGAAGGGCTTTGCAAAGTCCAGCATAATGCAAACCATCCTCACTGCTGAAACTCCATCCCCCTCTCTCCAGGTACCACAAAGGCATCGACTATGGAAGCGGATGGCGAAGGGGAAATGGAACTCCTGAGTAGCAGCATTGCAGCCTATGTGCACATCCGAGGTATGTGGGCAAGTGGGGCTTGGTTGAAAGGTGTGTGTGCCACCAGACTAGATAATGTTTGAGAGCACTTGATGAGTGTACAACATGCTTGGTCTGGCTTAGCAGGATCTCTTGGAAGTGACAGCCCAATTATCTGGGAACTGTTTTCAGGAGCCGGTTGATGCTGAAGAATTAGACGGGGTCCATGTGGCTATAAGCTCAACTACATGGACTCCTGCTCCTCCTGGTTGATCAGGGATCCCAGGAGTGATATTTATTTGGGTTGTGTGGTGGTTAAATGCCTCTTTGCAAGAGGAAGAGGCATCACCTGTCTCAAATGATGTGATGGTGGACCCCTTCTCAAGGGGGTATCCTTTTACCCCAACAGTATGAAACAACTTCCATCAGCCTCCAAACTTCCCTTTATGGGGAAGATCATTGAGAGGGTGGCTGGCACTCAACTACAAAGCCCAGGATGAAATAGATTATTTGGACCATCTTCAATCTGGATTCAGACCAGGATACAAAACTGAAACTTGTGACTCTTGTAGGTGACTTTCATGGGACTAAGAGGAGACTGGTGAAACTATTCTGGCCCTCCTGGATCTTTCAGCAGCTCTTGGTACCATCAACTATGGTATCTTTCTGGACTGGTATTGGGGGGTTTGGGGTGGAAGGCACAGTTTTGCAGTGATTCCCCTCTTTCCTTCATAGCCAGGTCTAGTGCCAGACCCTTGCAATGTGGGATGCCTCAAGGCTTGAGTCTTTTTTGAGCTCTCCTCTTTAAATCTAAACCGCTGGGGAGGTCATCCATGGGGTTATACATCCACCTCTCTCCAGGCAGGTGATGCTATGCAGTGCTAACATGGAGGCAATGGGGAGAATTTGGTTTCTGTTCAACCAGTTGAAGTGCCTTTCACCCCTGCCCCAGCCCGGGTAATATGTCATTTTTGATTCTGGATGGGGTTATATTCCCCTGGACTGAATCATGGCTCCTGCTCCAGAAGGAGGTGGCAGTCTTGCCTAGGTGGGCTTTGCACAGATTGAAGCATTGCTAAAGCCTTGGTCACCCCCACTTCCCCGGGCTTGGATTACTACAGTTTGTACTGTTTTTCAGGAGACCCTGGAGAATTTCACTTTTTCACCAATTTATGGGCCACGGCTGCTTCAAGTGGAAAGATTATTTTGCCTGTTGCTTTGCTTTTCTGATTTTTAAAATGAACTTACCTTTTGTTGTTTTAAGCCTTGGTGGTTTTGAGGCTGTTTCTGATTCTTCTCTTTGAAGTCCTTCCAGAAGGGAGAAATGGTGGCGATAGTCCTGTTCAATCCCTTTAGTCTATACCATTTTATGGGGAGATTGCTCTTCCCTCCTTGCAGCCTGCTTGAAGAGTAGCACAGAAAGAACGAATGACAGTCCACCAAGGAGCAGATGTGTGACCAGAGATCAGAGAAGCTTCCTGTTCTTGTGCCCCAGAATGTTGGATTCAACTCCCAGGGTGCCCAAGCAGCCGATTCCTGTAGTGCAGAAGCTGGGAAGGATTTGCCCAGTGAGCCCCCCCTCCATCTACTCTCCTCTCCCACGCCACCATGTCTGACCTGCTCCTCTTTGTCTTGCCTAGATAACCTGGAGAGTGTGGGCCTCTACTTTGTGCTGGGTGTCTGTTTTGGTCTGGTGCTGACACTCTGCCTTCTGGTCATTCACATCTCATGGCACCCTCAAGCCATTCCACACAAGCGCCGAAAGAGCCTGCAGGACTCGAGTGAGGATGAGGAGGAGGAAGAGGAGGAGGAGGAAGAGGAGGAAGACACAACCAACCACTCACTTGCTGTCCCCCCCTTAGCCATGACAGAGCTGCCCCTGGTATCCCCCAGCACCCCGGATGGAACCCTCACAATCAACGTCTTTGCTTCGGCTGAGGAACTGGAACGTGCCCAGCGCCTGGAGGAGCGCGAGAGGATCCTCAGAGAAATTTGGCGTAATGGGCAACCGGACGTTCTGGGAACTGGGACTGGGACCATTGGGAGAGTCCATTACTATTGACCAACCTCTTCTTTCATCCCTAAACTGAGTAGGCAACTGTCCTACACTCCTTGAGGCACTGCGACAGTCACGGACCTTGAACGAAGGGATAATGGCCGGTGGGAGAGGTCTTCCCCAGTGTGAGTGATTCTGACTGGGAGCACCACACAGAGCATGGGTGGAGAGCTTCCAGGACTATGTCAGGGACACTAAGGGGTTCACTCCCAGGTACCTGCTTCTCTGACCCTGTGGGGGTGGGGAGGAAGGGAGTCTGTCATGGGTTCTGGAAAGTCCTCATGGCACCCCTGATGGATCTGGGAGAGAGAAGGCTTGAGGGATTTTGGGCCTGCTTGGTGGAAGGATGCAAGATCTTTGGAAGTAAAGCCTCCAACCGCTGAAGAAGCTGGGTTCAGTATGAACAGCCCTGCCCAATCTTAGCTGAGCTGAGTTCAGGGCTGGCGTTATGCCCAGGGCTGTGCTCTGCACCCTCTCTCTTCCCACAGCAGGTGGGCAGACTCTTCTCCCAACTTTCCATACCCCCCCACACAGATATAATTCCTTATCTAAAGTACTGTATGTTATCTCAGGCTACTCTCCTACAACATGGTGACTCCTGGAGTTTCCTCTGCAGTGGGATTTCTTATTTCCTCAGAGGGGTTCAGCAGTGGGAAGCTGCCTCTAGCAGACTGAAGATGGAGCTGACAGAGACCGGCTGCAGGGTCCCCATGCCCAGACATTTTGTTCTGTTAGCTCCCCACTGCCTACAAGGGTTAACCGATTGGTAGCAAATATTCCATTTAGTGTGTAAAACTTTGCCTTATCTTTTATAAAACAGAATTATTCCAGTGCTGTAGTTCTTGTGGTGCTCAGTGCTCAATCCCTTAGGCTGCTTGTGGGTGTCATTCTTCAAAATTGCCCCAGTGCTGAGGGAGGGGGGGAGCCACTAGTTTTGTATCGCTTGGGAAGAGTGGCATTGATTCCTTCCAAGGGAGCTTTTATAATACAACTTCATTTGAATCACATGCCAGTTCCACCTCCCCCCTCCTTCCATGGAGGATACTGATACTTTCCTGAGAAGTTTTGGTTCTTTAGGTCCCAGGCTCTTGGGGGAGGGGGGGGACAACACCCCTTGCAGAGCCTTCTCGGTTTGTGAGCAGCCAGCTGTTCCCACTCCCACGCTTCTTTTTCCCCTCCTAAACTTCCAGAGATTCCCTGGTCTTCCCCTTGGGGGTGGGAGATGTTGACCCTCCTTCCCTGCTTTTCCTTCAGGGAATAGATGGCTTTGTCCTATAGCCAGAGAGGACTGTGATTAGGCTGTGTGGGTGTTGGGTGTGAGTGTGTGCGCACAAGGGCATAGATGCAGTTCATGGAAACAAGTAGCTGTAAAAGAAGTTAATTTTGTCATCCCTGACAAAGCAGATCCTGGACTCTGGAGAACTGAAACCCCCTTGCTGAGGGAGGGGGAGTCATTGCTTCTTGGATAAAGAAACTCCTCCACGCCCTCCCTTTCCTCCAGGCTGCCTCCCTCCCCCCCAACAGGAGTAGTAAAAATAGCCTTTCCACTCAGTCCTGTTGTAACTTGAACCAGATGTTTGCCAATGTTTTCCTGCTGCGCAGTTTCCTGCAAAAACCGCTCAAGAGACTTTTGGAGTGCTAGAGAAGGGGAAGGAGAAGCAGCCCTCCTCAGTTTTGGAGGGAAGAAGCGGAAGTCTTTTCCTTTGAGGGGGGCAGGAAGGCAGCCCACTCCTTCCCCACCTATAAAGCCCCAATTTTGCCATCTGTATTTTATGCTTTAAAATACAGCCAACTCTGATTTGTTTCACGTCAAGGAAACAAACTGCTTGTCTTGGACTGTGGAAAAGCCCTTGGAATCTGTGCTATCCCCACCCCCCACCCCGCACATGTCCACATTCTTTTCCCCGCGCCTTGGTGCAAAGCATTCCTTCAGTTGGTTGTATTTAACAGACCTAGAATGGTGATTGGGCGATCCCCACAAAATGATAAAAGGATGGTGAGAGAGATGAAGGCTTAAAGGGGGTTCTTCTGAGGCATTGGTTTTCTTGGTTGAGCTGGGATTGGAAAGGAGGCCAGAAGGCCCATAATCAGAAGATACAAGACTTGCAAGAGGATTTGGAGATCATCTAGTCCAATCCCTGCCCATTGAAGGATTCCAGCACTGAAGTCTCCCTGACAAGCTTCATCAAGTTTCCTCCCCAAATGAAGGACTTTCCATCTCTCTCTGCTAAAATCGATCTTGAAGATTGGTGGCCTGATGTTCCTCTTATAAAAGTTGATGCTCCCCTATGGTGTTTGCTATCCCTCTGCTCATCTGCAGATTTGATTACTGGGTTGTCTTTAAGCCCCCACCCAGGTCCTCTTCCCTTCCTCTGGAGGATGCCTTCTCACGGAAGAGATCCTGGCTCCTCTTTAGGCTTATCAAAATGCTCCTGTTTCACCTAAGTTGGGGGTGAACGTCTAGCACAGCAAAATGTTGACATCATTTCTTTTACAGGTAGTCCTCCACTTATGACCACAATCGAGGCCAAAATTTATGTTGCTAAGTGAGAAATTTGTTAAGTGAATTTTGGCCCATTTTACAATTTTTCTTGCCACATTTGTTAAGTGACTCACTGCAGTTAAGTTAGTAACCCGGTTGTTAAGTGAATCTGGCTTTCCCATTGATTTTGCTTGTCAGAAGGTTGCAAAAGTGGATCATCACATGACCCTGAGATATGCAACCATCATAAATGTGAACCACTTGTCAAGCATCTGAATGTAAATCATGAGACCATGGAGACACTGCAATGGCCGTGTGTTAAATGGTGACTTTTTCCACTGCCGTTGTAACTTCCCACAGCAGGGACGTGCAGTCAGGAGAGGCAGGGCCTCACCACTGTCATCATGAAAAGAAAAAAAAATGTAAAAGGAAAAAGGCTGAGCTAGTT